TGCTGGAGATGGGGGGAAATCAACGGGAGGCAGCGTGCTTACCTCCAGCGGCGCCGTCCGAAGCTCATGCCGGGCGCGCACACAGCCAGCCCCGAAGCATCAGAAGATGGACGGACGCCAGAGGTGGGGAAAATAGCCCGTAGAGGATGGGTAAACAAACAGGGAAAGAAGGAAAAAGCCACACACGACAGAGGGGGGGGGGGGAGAGAGAGAGAGATCTCTCTTCCCACCAGTTTCCTATTCCAGCCTGGCGTCAACCCTTTCAAATCTCAGCCGGAGAATAATTCTTCTCTGTTTCCAGCCCCCCCACCCCATACCCCGCACCTTTCACCCCAGGCACGCGCGCGCGCACACACACACACACACACACACATATACATATACACAAACCTTTGATGCCCCGGTAGCCTCCAGATTGCCTGGCTCATCAGAGAATCCGCGCCTCTGTTGTTGGCAAAGGCGATGAAGAAGAAGAAGAAGAGGAAAAAGGAGGAGAAGGTTCCGGACGAGGAGGAGGAAAGATGGCACGCGAAATGGATCCCATCCGAGCGGAATGAATGGACTTGCGGAAGAGGTGAGGAAAACACACCCTCCTCCCTCCCCACGCGAGCCAAAATTTAAAAAAAAATTTAAAAAAAGAAGGTTAGAAATGATCCTCTAGTAGAGCGCAAAGGAGAGAAGATGCTGGCTCTGGTTTCCTCTCGCTGGCTACCTCTCTCTCTCTCGGTGCCTCCCTCCCTTCCTTCACACACACACACACACACACACATACACAGTGAGACATGCACATACATACGCTTGCTGGCATGTACACGCACACAGCCTCCCATGCACATACATACTCCTTGCTGGCATGTACACGCACACAGCCTCCAGTGTCGTTGAGCAAAGCCTGTTAAAGACACACAGCCATTATTATCAATAATGCATGACTGCAGGCCGGTGAGTCTCTCTCTCTCTCTTTCTCTCTCTCTCTCTCCCCCCCCCACATCCACCCCCAACTGCCTTCTTCTGGCTAGGATCCTACAAGCGATTGCAACCATTCATTGTGGGTAAACACAAGGGCTGGCCAAGCTCTTTCTCCATCTCTCTTCTCCCCCCCCCAATCTCTTTCTCCCTCTGTTGCCTGGCTGGATTCTGCTCTTAGAATTGAGGAGGATCCAGTGAGTAGCTGGGTTGGCTACCTACCTGTTAAAAATCATCTCCAGCTAAATAAGGCCCAGGCTGTGTATAGGTTTGCGTGCCCTGTGTTTATTATACATCTTTCTGAAAGATTCAGCTTGCCCAAGCAAGCAACAGAAGGGAAGTCCATTAAGGCAGTAGGCGACCTGGAGTGGGAGAGTGGGAGGGAGGGAGAGAAAAACAGAAAGAATGATGGATCGAGGATTAGCGTGCATGGTTTGTAATAGGGCTGTCAAGAGGCTTTTTATAGCCCAGTCGACAAAAGGGTTGAGCCTGGACTCAAACCAGTTTACATTCCGATCCTAACCAAGACTTGCAAGCGGCTTCTAGGATAGGTTCCAACTTCGAAGGCCCAAAATCCAGTTTCTCTCTGCAAACTCATCACCCACTTGCTCCTTGGGAGGGAAAATTAGGGAAGAAATGGGAATATTCTTGATCTTTTCTTATTTCCTGAGCATCATGTGTTTTGGGGGGGGGAAGCAAAGAAGCAAATACCTGAAGGAATCATTACATTTTTAATGTTGTTTAGCAACTGACCATATACAAACATGTATTGATTGTATTGCACATAACAGGGCATTTTGCAGTTCTGATTATTTTTAAAAAATGCTGCTTCGCCATTTGTAGGGGTGAAAGGCAGTTTGTAATAAATACATTGAATACATATTTTTCATAATGGAGAAAAGTGGATTAATGCTGCGCTTTACAAAAACAGTAAGATTGTCAGGTGGTGTTTTCCACAGAAAATGCTAAAGAGGTGGCTGGTTTTTAAAATTTAAGAGGATCCAATGGAGCTGCATCCTAATTTAGAGGCATGCAGCAGGAAGGCTGAGAAATGTTGCTTATTTGGACTACAACTCCCAGCATCCCTCAACCAGTCCATTAAAAAAAGTCTAGTGTTCCCAAGACTCTGGCACTTATTTGGACTACAACTCCCAGAATCCCTCAACCAGTCAAAAAAAAGTCTAGTGTTCCCAAGACTCTGGAGGAGAATCTGGAAAGGTGGAAGGAGAAATGTATATTCCTAGATTGCAATATCAAGATTAGCAGAAGAGGTAAGAAGAACAGGTTCTCTGCTACTCTGCCTCTTCATACCTCTTGCTTTGGCAATAATAGCATGGAAGGTAGAATGTTAATTGGAAAAGAGGGAAGAAAAAAGTTAAACGGCTTGGTATTTATCCAAAGGATGTCCAGCTGTGAATGTATGCATTTCTGAGAAAAAGAGAGAGATTGAGAAACGCACACAGAGAGAACTGTAAGTACAGTATAATAAATAATATATGTTGACATGGCAGCAGCAACAACAACAACAATAATAGGATTTAAAATAACATGGTAAATAGCATAGAAACAGCAATCTGGAAAATCCCACCATCTCAAAAAATGCAGACCATTTTTGGGTTTTCCTGTGTGAACAAGATGGTGTATGGTAGAAAAAAACCAGAAATGGGGAAAACTGCTATGAGAATTTTTTTGAATTCCTTTTATTGAATCTGCAAAGAGAACAGGACCTCGTCTACAAGTAAAATTCTTCCTATCGATCTTCAAGTAATTGCACAGAATACTGCCTTCTTCAGCTTGCTCCCTGAAACAAAGGAATCGTGACAGGCCCTATACCTAGGAAGAATGAGGCAACTGTTCAAGCTTCAGGTGTTGAGGGTAGGCAAGAACTTGATGAGATGTTGGAGGACAGAGTCTTACCCGTGACACATGGCTAGACTTTGGTCCTCAGGTGCCATGGAAGATGCTGGCCTAATATTCTGTTGGCCTGTTTTGTTGCCTTTTACCGCAGAGAATAACAAGTCTTAAATTGGCCATGACTGTCTACAAGTGAGTAAATGTACTTGACTGGGTGTTTTGATCAGAACTTTACAAGCTGCAAATGGCCTCTTTGTCTGTTTCCAGTGCTGACTGTAATTTATGAGGCCCTAAATGGCTCAAGATCAAATTACACAGTGACCAAAATCCTGTTGGGCAGATTCCACCTGTACAGCGTTAGAAACATCATCAGTAGCAGATTTCCATGGATTAAAGACTTCCTTTTTTTAATGTTGGGATGCACACAACTTCATCTCATTGCATGCAAGCAGCGTTAGAAACATCAGCAGCAGCAGATTTCCACTGATTAAAGACTCCCTTTTTTAAAGTTAGGGTGCACACAACTTCATCTCATTGCATGCAAGCCATGCACACCCTGATACCAAGAAAAAATAAGTTTTAATTTAAAAAAATCAGTGGCAATCAAAGCTAAGCCACAAGATTTTGGCCAATAATGGGAATACTCCTCCTTACTATTGCATTGTGTTCCCTCCAGGTACACAACATTCTGTGCCTGAGGAAACACACTTGCAAATGAAGTTGGCAACAGATCACAAACAAAGAAAAGCAAGCGAACTGACAGCACTCCAAGTAAAGCAACATTGTGGTAGGATAACAAAATGTCTTTTAGCTCTGCAGAAGGACATTTACTTTTAAGGGTCTGCTAACTGTACCATCCAGTTTGGCTGTAGGAAAGTTTAGCTTGGTAGAATCAGGCTCGCCACCTGGAGTGTATTTAGATGTCATTGATATAAAAATCCCACAGGGCTGGGAAACACACACACACACACACACACACACTCATAGAAGAAATGCCAATTCAGTCTGCAAGTTTAAGAACTTATCTGTTTCAGAAAAAAAGAATAGGATGCAAGAAATGGGAACACTTTTGGTTATGGCAAGTGGATAGCATGCCAGCCATTACTTAAGAATGTTAATTGCTTCCCAAACCCATCCAAACTTCCCATAAAAAGCAACCATGTGCCAGATAAATAATGGATGCAAACATTCACCTGCATACCTATCAGTGTCTCATCAAGCTTGCACTTTCTCTCTTGGAAGATGAACTGCAGGTCTCATGGCTTAAAACATGTAATTATATTTGGAGACTTTAGTGTTTCTCCCAACCCAAGAAGCCTCGTGAAGAATTTGGGAGAAAACCTGCGCAGTATTGTGGAATTGTTGCTGGTCTCAAAAAAGATAGAACTGGGAATTTGATTTGCTCTTTACCAATCAACTTGTAAATGAAAATATGCAGTTCTGTTATCTGTGATCCAACAGTAGCTAATCTAGGTTTCCCTTTGATTTCTGAGATTTTATGAGCTTGTTTTGCTTTTTCTGCTGTTCTGATCCATCTCTTTGCACAGATTACTGTAATACTAAACTTAGTCTCTACATGATAGTTGTTGAAAAGTTGCATTCAGAATTCTGATCTTACTTCTGTAACCATTTATTTTCACTTCTCATCTATACTTAACATTTTAAGTGTTTCTTCCATCATCTATACAGGTTTTTCTTTTCTTCTTACTACAGGGTTAGTCTTGTTTGCATTCCTTCCTAATAATACTTCTGGTTTCAATCCACACCTGTCTGTAGATCCACTAATGGGGTAGTCAATCAATCAATCAATCAATCAATCAATCAATCAATCTGGTGTGATAGAAGAAGGCTGCCCACAGATCCAAAGTGCTTCGCTGTAGTAATCAAAAGGGTAGTGGGAATAAGAGTGCAAAGTTTACAAAAACAGAATGCTGTCATGACAGCTGTCATAATAATACAGCAGTTTTCTAATAATACAGACGAACTTGTTTGGATGAGATGACTGATATGTAAAGAGCTAAAAAGCCCCTGTTCCTGTTCAAGCTAAGAGGTGTAGTGTTGAATCGTTTGATGAATTCTTGTCCAGCTATTTCCCTTTGGAATGTCTGTCTGAAGTTCTTTTGTTGAAGGTTGACCAATTTGAGATGAGACACAAGAATGACAGGGACATTGAAATGTTGCATACTAATTTTGGGGATTATTGCTTCTAATGTCAGATCTGTATCCATTTATTCTTTTTTGTAAGACTGGTCTGCTGGTCCTTGTTGTGGGACATTGTTTCAAAAAAAAGGACAGGCATACATCACATTGGGTTATAAGCAATTATACAAATTCTTAATGTAGTGGACTACATTATTAGATTGTTTAATGCTGCCTCCACTGTAGACATGCAGGTAGAGCTGACATCTAGGTCTGCCAGAGGACTTGGTTCCTACAACAGTATCTCTGTCACAAAGTATGTTGTTGCTGGTAGGTAATCTTTTCAGGCTGGTGTCTGTCTGTATGCAAACATAGAAATCCTATTGAGAATCTGGTTAAATATCTGGCTGAAATCAAGATACACAACATCCACCACATTCCCCTGGTCTACTAAGATTGTAATTCTTGTTTTTGAGAAAGCCGTGCTGGCTTTTAGTAATCAATGTACTGTATTCTTCTTTAAATACGCACAGAGCAACTGTTTAAGAATCTGTTCAAGGGCCTTTCCTAGTACTGATCTCAAGCTGACTGGTCAGTACTTGTACAGGTCTTCTT